AAAAAAAAAAAAAAAAAAGACGTGTGTGGAGCACTACAGTGTATAGAGTCCCACAGTTGGTTGGCTTAGAAGATAAGTGAGTGCCTGGATTATGAAACCTGGTTGGTTGTTGGAAAAACCCAGGAAGCTTTAAAAATTTTGGATTTCTGAATGTCATTTCCAGAGATTTTTATTAGTATGTGATTGTGGAAAATTGCTTTAAATTGAAGTATTAATTATATAGTTTTAGATTCACTAGAATAATTAGTGATTTAAAACCTATTGTTATTTCTTCTGTGAAAGAAGATTCCTTTTGATAAGTAAGTTGCATTTTTAAGATATATACCCAAATTTTTATCTATAGGATTTACTTTAAGTATATATTTTTATGTTATGGATGGTTGGTGGATAGCATCAGATCGTCGCATTGTGATTACAGTGTTACAAATTAAATGTTTTTCCAGTTAGGGTCTCATTAAAAAGTTGATTTATAAAATTTTGATTCGTGTTGTCTTTTAAGTACTGCTTCCTACCTCCGTTCCATCCCATCGTGTAGGTGATAACTACTAGTAAAAATTATATGATTCTATGAAATACCCTATCTTAGTTTATAGGTTAATACATAGAAAGTGTTGAGTATGAACATATTAGAATACCTTACTAATTAATTATCCTGATCAAAGTTGGGAATAGAAAAAATTATGAGAGTCATATGGGCGTGTATACATGTATAGATACCATAATATAACTATGTATTTTAGTTATGTTTTTAAGCAAACTTTATGAGAAGTTTGGTAATATACCCAAATTCTTGCTCTGAAATGGCATTGGGTAATTTCAAAGCAAGCAAGCTGACTCTCCAGGTCTAACTTGGTGGAGAGTTTTGAGAAGTGAAGTGATAAATATGCAATATTTATGTAATGTAGGCTTCCATTATTACAAACATGACAGATTTTCTTCTTGTTTTGTTTTTAATTCATAGGGAAAATGATGAATCAGTCAAAGAAGATAAATCTGAATTAAAAGAAAAATCTTCAGGAAATAAGAAGGCCAATAGATTTCATCCTTATTCAAAAGATAAGAATTCAGGCACTGGAGAAAAGAAGGGTCCAAATCGAAACAGAGTTTTCATTAGCAACATCCCATATGATATGAAATGGCAAGCTATTAAAGATCTAATGAGAGAAAAAGGTAACCATTCCTGATAAACCCACTGTTGGCTTATCTTCATATAAAGGGGGAGGAACTAAGCAAACTTTTTTATTCCTTTGAGCCACACAGACTCAAAAAATTGATTTTTGTTTATTTCTTGACACATGAATTAATCTTTTCCTCTTCTCTCACTTGACAACAATTTCATTACAAAGTCATACGGATAAATGAAGTTTTTTTTTTTCCCATTTTAGTGGTATAGTAGTGAGCCAGCATATGCATGCCACCAAGAATTTTGTTAAAGTGATTGCTTTGTCTAGTTGAAGTTTTTATAGATTTTTAAAGGACTATTGCATTAGTTAAGCAATACATTAGCGTGTTAAAGTATGAATAATAAGGTCTGATTATTTTTTTCCAAAAGCTGTTTTGTTATTATCTTGGTGGATTCTGGAATCTGGCTGTGGAGTTCATTTTGTTTGCATTGTCATGAATGCCATGATGCTGTCTCTGCAGTTCTATTTTAAAATTGCGTTACTGCTGTTGCAGTTTTGTTTTTAGAATAACTTGAAAACCTTCATTTTATATATATGGTTGGTTTTGGGGAAAAATAATTTTAATATTTGATCTTGTAAAAGTTAGTTTTGTTATCTCTTGAAAAATTGAGTTTCAACAGTCCTGCAAACTATGTACTTGGCTTTGAGGCTGATCTCTTCTAATAAATAAAAAAAACCTTGCATTGGTGTATCTGTTGTAAGGTGACAACTATTTGATTGGTTTTATTCATTGACTTTATTTAGAAAGTGTGTGGCTTGCTGTGAAGCATGACTTGTAAATTTAGTTTACTGATGGCAAACATGATTGAAGACATTCAGGTAGAAAGTCACCTTAAAACAGCTGTTGTGTGTAGGCGACCAAAGTTACTTGAAAAGTGTTAATGTTGATGTTTTTAATATGATAGGTTAAGGGACCATTTGTATGTATATGTGCATTTGTTCACCAACTATATCATGCTGGCCAAAATATGATCTGTAGTATGAATTAGGTTAATATGGTTGTTAGCTTTTTTAGAGAATGTGGATGATGTACATTTCAGAAAATTAGTTAAATTTACATAGCCATTGATAGGAGGTATGTTGGTCTGGTTTTGATTGTTGGTGAATAATAGGTGCTTTTCTGTAGAGTTGTGCACAGGTGTGCAGTAAAGCAAGATATTGGTGTTTAAATGTATTGTTTCTTGGTATCTTCCTTTTGTATGTCTTATGTAGTCGGTGAGGTTACATACGTGGAGCTCTTTAAGGATGCGGAAGGAAAATCAAGGGTAAGTGCTGTGGGCCATAATCTGCTTGAGGTTTAAAAGTTCCTCAGCAGTTTACTTTTTTGTATAATATTTGTACCAGTTTTTGGAAACTTAAGTTTCATTTTGTTTTACTTTATTATGCAAGATTTGAGGCTTTATACTAGCAAGTCTGACATTTATTCAAACCAAACTAGCTGCCTGGAAGGGATGGGTTTGTAAATGTTCATAAAGGGCATTCACTTTTCTAATGCTTTAAGGTAATGCTTCTTCTTAGCCAAGAGATTTTACTATAGCATTTTTTTTGTTGTGTTTTGATGTCTTCAAGGATATTCTAAAAGTTACTGCATTGATAATATTCCCTAAGAGTTCTCTGACAAGCCCATAGCTTAAAGGTGTTAATTCAGAATGTATGTTTGAAATTTACATTGAAGAACTTAATTTGGTAGCCTGCAAGACTACATAAGAGGCAGTGCTCTGACCAATTGGTATGAATGACATTGATGATTAAATTGACATTAGAAGGAATTGGTTGATAGTAGGTTTTGATTTTTAGCAACAAGAAAGCAATACACTGAGGAATACAATGGAAAGCTTTAACAGTGTTCAATTATATTGCAAAAACCAGTTGGTGCATAAGAAAAACTTTGTCATCACATTCAAATGGCACTTCGAACAGTAATGACAATTATTTTGAAAATGTATAGGTTTGTTTCTTTAGCATAAGTGATTATTTTATATACTTAAACTGGATGCTGTTAAATTGTGTGCAGCCAGTTTTCTCTAATAGAGAAATTAATTAAAAATGAGATTATTTCCTATTTTTACCTTAATAAAATTGAAAGATATACATTAAAAACAATTTGTGCATAATACATCTTTTGAAAATAGTCGTAACAATGGAAGAAGTGTTTTATGGAAACCTTCAATTTCCCTGAGTTACTTTTGATTGAATTTGTGAAAATACCTTATTTAGTCTTAACCTAAAGAAGAGTCCTCTAAAAGTAAATATGTGTTCCAAGCTTGTTAAATGCTAGATGCTACTGCCTTTAAATAGATCGATTTAAACATTGACAGAAGATTTGTGGTCACTTGCTATTATGTTCCAGAAGTGTAAAAGATAAAAAGTGATTGTGTTATCAATTGCTTTTCATGACTTAAATATTAGAGTTTACCATTAACTTCGTCTACTGATCTAAAACTTTTCTTCTTTTGCATATATTGACAAATCTACCTGGATATAGGGTTGTGGGTAAGAATTTTTTTTAAGTTTCTTAAGTCAAATTTAAACTTCTGATTAAGAAAAAGAAAATTTAGTATATAAACATTTCCTATAAATTTTTTTCCCCATTAAGTGTTGTTGAATTCAAAGATGAAGAATTCGTAAAGAAAGCGCTAGAAACTATGAACAAATATGATCTTAGTGGAAGACCCCTGAATATTAAAGAGGTAAGATTTCTTATATTTGGAATAATTTAAACTTTTGGATATAAAGACATGTTTTCTTTGGATTTTCATCTTGGGGGATGTATTTCTCTGGCTACTCCTTTTTTTTTTTTTTAAAGCCTAGATGCTTATTAAAGCATTATATAATTGAAGATAGTTTTGCTTGTGCATGGTTTCCTGTTTGCTTTTAAGCAGTTTTCCTATATATTTGATTTGTTCCAAGTTGTTATAAGCAGAGGTGCATGATTTAAAAAATGCAGATATTTAAAGATGGCAAGGTTTATGTATTGACTTTATTTGGTATAGACATTTTCAGTTTTTAGATTGTGTTGTTTAACTTGAGAATTAGATATTCTTGTAGTTGATAGTAAAGGGTGCTTAATAATGCAAATACCTTATGGATTTGAATAAAATTGATACTCACTTTTAGTTAAAATTACCCTGAAACTATGCCAGATTAAAATTTGAGAAAACTTGTGAATCTGTTAGTGAAATTTGTAACTGGAACTTGGAAACCCCTAAAGTGGGTATGTTCCCTTTGTATGGAACAGTAGTATAATACATTGACAAAAGAATAATCAGAAGATACTTAAAAACTATGTACACTTAAGTGTAATTGACCTTGGTAATGATTAGCTTGAATAGCAGTCATTTTCATTTCTTCCTTTAGTTCATATTGTTAATCTTACCTGAATTGTTTGATCATGGACCAGTTACGTATATATTCTTGCTAAAGTCTGTGTTACAAATGATTGAGGATGTACTTTAGGACCCTGAAGAGTCTCTACCAGCAAGGTTGCAAGTCTCTGGTAGTAGAGCATTACTGTCAGTCACAGTTTAATTTGGTTGAGTAATGATAGGAGTCCCAGCTCACTTTCTAGCTCTGTGACTAGGCAGGTTACTTATTCTCTAAACCTCAGTAATTATAATAGTACAAATGGTAGTACTTACCTAATAGAGTTTTTATGAGTATTAAATGAGATAACATGGTAGAGAATTCAAGCTCTGGCATCAGATAATCTGGGTGACTCAGGGCAATCACTTACCTTTAATTACTTAAAAAATTACCTAACTTTAATCACTCTCTATTTCTTTGTTTCTTTATCACTAAAGTGAGAATGATATTAGAAGCTATCTGATAGTTTTATAAGGTTTCAGTTAATATATGTAAAACATTTAATAAATGTTAGCTACTAACTATAATTGTGATGTTATTATATAAAGCACTTAGCACAGTGCTCAAAATACTATATAACTACATAAGAAATGTTAGCTGTAATAATAATTGCTTGTTGTTATTCCAGTCCAAGGTGGGAATATTCCTGGTTGTTGGTCTCTTGATTCTATGAGGTGATAATAGCTTAAAATTAAAGCCCATGCTACCAACAAATACAAGTATTCCAAATCCCTTTATTGGAGTCAGCTTCTGAACTCCTCTAATTCTGTTTGAGCCTGGGGGGTTTGTCTGTCCGTCCTTCTTCTTCCTTCCTTCCTTCCTTCCTTCCTTCCTTCCTTCCTTCCTTCCTTCCTTCCTTCCTTCCTTCCTTCCTCTCTCTTCCCTTTCCTTTTCCCTTTCCCTTTCCTCTCCCTCCCTCCTTCCTCCTTTCCTTCCTTCCTTCCTTCCTTCCTTCCTTCCTTCCTTCCTTCCTTCCTTCCTTCCTTCCTTCCTTTTTGACTGGGAAGTAGAGAAAGTTTAGACTGTTGTACTCTGTGCCAGCCATTTACATGGTGGTTTTTATGCTAAAGGACAAACCTATGTTGTTTGTGTTCTTTTAAGTTTTAGCACTTCCTATATCCTCAGTAATATTTTAGAGACCCTAGAATAGAGTTATGTGATCCAAATTGATGTAGGATACTTCCATTTTTAAATTTTTTTAAGAGGGAACAATAACTGAGTTTGGCCTAGCTAAATGATGAAGTATTCTTTATTCAGTTAACTTTATGGATTATTATTACTAAAGGTCCCTTTCCTGGGAATTTCTGATTTACAAATGGATGACTGGGCTCAGTGCTAAAACTACTAGTGAGAGTCTAAGAAAAAATATATTTCCAATATTCCCTACCAGATATTACAATTTTATTTTTTCATTATATTAAATGGTGTTAGGAGCAGTTATAAAATTTTATAGGCCCTCTAATAGCAATAACAGGTAGTGACTGGCAGGCTGTCCTCCAAGGGGAAAAGAGGAATAAAAACCATGTTATATAGTGGCTACTTTGTTTTAGATGAATTGTATTTATATATGTTTTACGTTTTATTATGCATATGTGTGTGTGTATTTTTGTGTGTATATATGTTTATATATATGTCAAAAATATAAAAAGACAAATCAAAACATACTAAGATGTTAAGGACAACGGTGTATCTCAATAGTTTATGAAGCACCTCCCCTACCCCTACCCCTCCTTCTCTCCTAGGTAACCACTATCATAAATTTTCGATTTGTGCAAGTTTTTGAAGCTTTAGTTAGACCTGAAACATTTATTATTTACTAACTTAAAAATTTTGCAGCATTTTTCAAAACGTTTATTTCTTTATTTCTGTATTTCTCTTTATTTCTTCATGGTGAAAAAATACTTTGGAAGCTAGTATACCTTTATTAATTGCATTGTTTTTTTTTTAATTTTTTTTTAACGTTGTATTTATTTTTGAGACAGGGAGAGACAGAGCATGAACAGGGGAGGGTCAGAGAGAGGGAGACGCAGAATCTGAAACAGGCTCCAGGCTCTGAGCTGTCAGCACAGAGCCTGACGCGGGGCTCAAACTCACGGACTGTGAGATCATGACCTGAGCCGAAGTCGGCCGCTTAACCGACTGAGCCACCCAGGTGCCCCTGCATTTAGTTTTTCACCTTCTATTCTCCCAGCCTTCCTAGAGAATTTATTAAGGTCATCCAACTTTCTTTTTATTAATATTCCCAGACTGAGACTAGCAATATAGAGTTGATGGTTGCATTTATCATTGTCATTTGGTATTGCAGATAATAGTCTATCAGTGTGTTTATGTGTTTTTTGTGTGTGTTTTGCATTCCACCTGGTGAGATAAGTGAGAAGTACATTTAAACTCACTATTTTTGTTTTGTTTAAAGGTAGAATATTTCTCTTACACAGTTAATGAACTTAAAGCAGTTTTTAATATCATTTGCTTGGACACTTAGCCTTTCTTTATCCCCCCCCCCCCTTCATCTCAGATCATAATCCATTGTCAGATCACAATCATTGTTGAGAAAGGAAAAAGGTTGGAAAGTGGGTAATTGTATTTTGTTTAGGAATGAAACTTACACATTATAATAGTTCCCCTTTACCCCAATATTCCTGGGTTTTGTAACAGTCTGTTCCACTGTTGAAAAGCTTTGAATTAGTCTGATTTGGCATTGCCTTGGGCATCCAGTGGTGAGAATTCACCATTACTGCATTTTAGCAAGAAAAGAGTCACAGTAAGTACAGTATTTTGTTCCTCTTTGAGTTATATATATTTATGCGTATGTGTCATGTATTTGAACCCTAGTATAAGGGCAGAATTAAACTAATTTCAAGTTCTTAAGTGACTTTAGTGATTGGAAACGGGTATTTAATTGACACCCCTGGAGACTGAAATCTTTTGTCTGTCCACAGGTTTTTATGGGACTGAATTCTCTGGATAAGAAAAAAGCTCACTCTTCAAGAGGGCCAATAATTTGAGCCAGTTGGGATAGCTACTGTAGAATTTGAAGTTGTTATTTTAATGATACAGATTTACTGATGTATCTAGTAGTATTTAACATTCAATGTGTGTTATAGGATCCTGATGGAGAAAATGCTCGTAGGGCATTGCAACGAACAGGAGGATCATTTCCAGGAGGACATGTACCCGATATGGGATCGGGGTTGATGAATTTACCACCTTCCATTCTCAATAATCCAAACATTCCTCCTGAGGTTATCAGTAATTTGCAGGCTGGTAGACTTGGTTCCACAATTTTTGTTGCTAATGTAAGTTTAAGCTTTAGTCTAAAATTTTGTCATTCAGATATTTAGTTCTAATCATGAGGTTATTAAATTAGATGAATGGGTTGTAGGTTTAGAGAACATTTTGCTGATTTTTAATGAAAGTAAGTGAAACAGTAATTATTGGAACTCAAACCCAGTTTAAGTCTATATGTATATATATATATATGTATATATATGCACACATATATATAAGGTTAAAGTGTAAATATGAGTATTTAGTATTCTTTAAAAGTGAACTGTGGAATTTACAAATACCTATGCAGTTCTTGAACATGTTTACTTTCATTATATGGGACTTTTGTTCATATTGGTAAATGGATTTCTTTCTTTAGCTTTGATATTTGATATTTGTGAATGTGCACATTGTAGTTGGTTTGTCATTTGTTCTAAGCTTTTGAAAGTCAGTGATATCAACAGTACTTTCAAAAATATGAATTTCTCTCAGTAAAAATAGATGAGCAAGTTTCACATGTACAAAACAGGATGAGCAGATAAGAGGCTGTTTTGGAAATTAAAAAAAAAAAATTAAGGATAAGGAACAACGTTGGGTGAAGCTTGATTGATTTTAAACAACTTAAGATGTCTTTATTTGAATACTGTTGTTGATGTACCATCTACCAAGAAGTATAGTTCTTTATAGCTTTTAGATTTGAGAAAAGATTTGTTTGTATTATTTATAAATGGGGAGAGGGGTTTATTAGGTATGTAACTTTATGTAATTTTATGTTAAGCTTGACTTCAAAGTTGGTTGGAAGAAGCTAAAGGAGGTGTTCAGCATAGCTGGAACTGTAAAACGGGCAGATATTAAAGAAGACAAAGATGGCAAGAGCAGAGGAATGGGCACAGTCACTTTTGAACAAGCAATTGAAGCAGTTCAAGCAATTTGTATCCTGATTTACACTTTAGCGCTATCTAATACGGTTGAAGAGCTTGATACCATTTTGTGGGGGTCATGGAATTTAAAGTTGCCTGGCTTGGAAATGTGTATTAGACTTTAGTCTCCAGCACATAAAACCTTTACTATGTCCAAGTACTAAAGTCACTCTTAAAACTTGAATTAGCCATATTATGTAAGCCTGGTATGAACTCTTCTACTTTCTCTTCCTGCCACAATGAACTGTATGTATATCCGCTGTCGACAGTTAATGTAATCCATTGTGCATTAATGCAGTTGCTTTAAATGAAGTTTTCCCCCAGTGGTTGACTTACAAGATTATATTTTATTCATAAAGTAAAAGTATAAAGCAAAGACTTCAAGATTTTTCTTTGAGTATATGGAAGAGACTAAAATAAGTAAAATAGTAAAGATGTTGATTAAATTATTAGAGGTAGTCTGACTCTAAGATTATTAAAAATACGTGTTCAAGTATAATTTTATAGTCAACTGGTTTTCCTTGACCAAACCAACAGCTATGTTCAATGGGCAGTTTTTGTTTGATAGACCTATGCATGTGAAAATGGTGAGTTCCTCCATATCACTTCAACCTCCCACCTCTTCAAACTTGTATCTGCTCTCCTCTGCATTGCAGATCTGTTTAGTTATGAATTAACCACACAATAAACTTTTTTTGCAATTAGGATGACAAGTCTGTCCCTCATGAAGACTACCGCTCACATGATAGTAAAACACCACAGTTACCACGTAAGTAAAAGTTATTATTAGAAGCAGAGCAGGCTATATATTTTTTCAATTTTATTATATGCTAAGCAAAACTCCTTATTTTTGCACCTATATCCCAAATTGCCCACAGTTTAGGATTAGTTTGGCATTATAGAGATAGTTTGTCATGATTGCTGAGGAAGACTGAGAAGATAAACATGTACATTTTTTTTTCTTTTTGGTAGTTTTTCCTTATTACAAAAGCAATACGTACTAAAAAAATTGTTAAGTTCATATACATGAAGGGAAAAAAGTCCTTTTAATTTTACCACATGTAGTCTCCATTTTAATATATTTCTGTATTTTTTATGGTCTTTTTAGGGTTTTTTTTTTACATAGTTGAGTACTACCATAGAAATAATTTTTTTTAAACATTAATCTGAAGTATTCCATGTTGGAAAATTCTTTTCGCATATTTTTATTGGGTGTGTAATAGTCCATTGTATGGATGCTCCCTAAGTATTTCACTGTAATGTTAGGTATATTTATTTGTTTTAACTTTTTTTTCTTTAATTGCCAACAGAGTAATTCATGTCTTTCTGTATACAAATATTTGGTATGTTTTTGGTTATTTCTTTCAAGTATATTTACAAGTTCTCAGGTGTGCATATTGATCAGTATTATTGAATTATTTTCCAAATGGTTATAAAACATAATGTACTTAACATCTTTGTCTCAGTGTTACATCTGCAAAATGAGGATGATAGCGCCTATATCATGGGGTTGGCATGAGTGTTGCATGAGTTAATATATGTATAGCACTTAGAACAGTTTTGGAATAATGTAAACACTCGAAAACTAGCTCTTCTTACTCTTTTACTGTACCTTCTCTGATTTTTATTAAGTTTTTTTTAATGATAAAATATTTTAAATATACAGACAAAAATAAAATTAATCATGTAGCTATCGTAGGCCATATTTGTTATAGATGATTTTCCTTTAAATTTTTTTTTTTTTTCCAACGTTTATTTATTTTTGGGACAGAGAGAGACAGAGCATGAATGGGGAAGGGGCAGAGAGAGAGGGAGACACAGAATCGGAAACAGGCTCCAGGCTCTGAGCCATCAGCCCAGAGCCCGACGTGGGGCTCGAACTCACGGACCGCGAGATCGTGACCTGGCTGAAGTCGGACGCTTAACCGACTGCGCCACCCAGGCGCCCCGATGATTTTCCTTTAAAATAAAATTTTACAGATAAGGTTGAGACTCCCCCTCTCTCCTGACCACCAGATACCATACCAAGAGGAAACAACTTATGAATATAGTGTTTATTGTTTAAGTTTTAGTCATTTGGATACACATTTATACATACACAAACATTATAGTTAATGGTTTTGCTGGATTTAAAATTTGGGGTGAGTGACATCCTATTGTATATATTCTGCAGCTTGCTGTTTTTGGTTTAATACTGTTTTTGAGATGCATTTATATTGATGTAGCTCTAGTTCCTTAATTTTTTAATTTTTTTTTTGAGTGGGGGGGGGCAGAGAAAGAGGGAAAGAATCTTAAGCAGGCTCTAGGCTCAGCACTGAGCCCCACACAAGGGGCTCAAGCTCCCGACCTTGAGATCATGACCTGAGTTGAAATCAAGAGTCGGGTGTTTAACCGACTTGAGCTATCCAGGCTCCCCTGTAATTTCTGTTTTTCTAAGATTTTTACTATTTTTGTTCATTTTCAGATTTATTGGCATAAAATACCCTCTTAAATTTCCTCTACATCTATAGTTCTTTCTTCTGATAAATTCTGAAGGTTTGTAATTTCTCTTTTTCTTGGTCAGTTTTGCTTAGAGATTTTTCACTTTTATTTGTGCTTTCAGTTTCATCTTAATTTCTGCTCTTTAATATTTTCTTCTCTCTATTTTTGGGGGTTTAGTTTCTTATTTTTGTCCATATTCCTTAAGTTGACTGTTTACTTCACTAGTTTTGTAGGCTCTCTTTCCTAATAAAAGTAGTTATAACTATAAATTTAGCTGTTGCACACAAGTTTTGCTATGGAGTATTTTTATTGTGATTTCATTTTTATTAAATTACTACTATGACTTCTTAAGCCATGCAGTTTTGAATTTCTAAATGTATGGGGCTTTTCATTGTTAATTTTTAATTTATTGTGGCCAGAGAAGATACGATTGTGATTTTTGGAATAATTTGGACTTTGTATTATGGTCTAATATCAGGCACTTTTTTAATACATATTCTAGATGTGCTTGGTGAGTGCAGTGTTCTATATATGTCCATTAAATCAAGTTTGTTAATCCATTTACATTGTCTACATTTACATCACTACTAATCATCATGTGTGCGTGGGCTGTCAATTACTGAGAGATGTATATGGTAAAATTTCCCACTAGAATGTTGGATTTTCTTTTTATTGTTTGTTTTTTGGTTTTTTTTTTTTTTTTTTTTTTTTTTTGGTTTTTACTTTAAATATTTTGACACTAACTTAGTAAGTACATCTAAGTTTAGAACTGATATATTTTCCAAATGAATCAAAATTTTATCACTAAGAGTGATTTTATCTTTAGTAACTAAGTCTTATCTAATATTTAAAAAAATTTTTTTTTTCAACGTTTATTTATTTTTGAGACAGAGAGAGACAGAGCATGAACGGGGGAGGGGCAGAGAGAGAGGGAGACACAGAATCGGAAACAGGCTCCAGGCTCTGAGCCATCAGCCCAGAGCCCGACGCAGGGCTCGTGGGCTCGAACTCACGGACCGCGAGATCGTGACCTGGCTGAAGTCGGACGCTTAACCGACTGCGCCACCCAGGCGCCCCAAGTCTTATCTAATATTGATATAGTTATAACAGCTTTGTTTTGCTTATTCACATTTATTATTTATGTGGGTTAATTCCCATTATTATACGTTCTATTTTTGTGCTTTTTACAGATATTTTCCTCCTATCTTTCTCATTTAGTGGTTAGCCAGGATTTGTAATATATCTGTGAAGTCTGAAGTTAATATAATTATTCTTTTACTCAGTAATAGAGTGACCTTTGAATGCTTTAATTCTAATCACTTTTTCTATTGAATTATATGCCGTTATTGCTCATTGTCTTAGTTCTGTATTGCTTTTTTTCATGGCCGCAAAGTAGGCATTACTACTATTTACCATTTTCTTGGCTTACCTTTCTCTACTCTCACAGACCCTGGCGCTAATTTTTTCTCAAAGCATATATTTTAAAAGCTCTTTCAGTGAGGATCTGTTGTTAGTAAATTGTCTCAATTTTGGATAGTCATAAATGTCTTCAAAGGTAGTTTTACTGGTTATACAGTTTAAGATTGACAGTTATTTTCTCTCAGCACTTTGAAAAACCCCACAGTCTTCTGGCTTCCATTGTTGCTATTAAGTCAGCTACCAGTTAAAATGTCCTTTCTTTACAGGTTAGCTGTGTTCTTCATGTTGCTGATTTTAACATATTTGTCTTTGGTATGCAGTTTTCTGCAGTGTTGGTATGAATTACTTTTTATTGGGCTTTCACAATCGAAGAATTCAATTTCTTTTTAAGTGAACTCTGGAAAACTCTCAGTTCATGTGTCTTTGAGTATTTCCCTTTCTCTCTTTATAGGGCAGTTTTTTCCTGCCTCAGCCAAGTTTACCTTATCACTTAGAGTGTCATCTTTCGAGATTCTGCCTGGCTTTCTGCTGGGGCTTCCAGTTTACTTTTCCACTATTAATACTCTTCTAGTTATTTAGATAAAAAATATTCTCTGTTGTATTCAGACTTACTCTATATCTCTTCTTTTTGAGATTCACATTTTTATATATTCTTTATTGAGATATAATATGAACTCATACACTTTGACAGAATTAGTTTGTTATTCGAGTTAATCATTATTAATGTCCCTATTTTTCCCTTCCTCCCTTCTTTTGTTCAGATTATTGTAACTTGTCAAATGGGAGCCTCCTTACTGCCAATGATGCCTATACTCTTACTTTTGGTGAAAGCATGATTTCCCAGATCTGTGAAGATTTTTTTTTTTTTTG